GTGTGTCGATAGTAATGGTTGTTATTTCGTTTTATGAAGCTTTGTTTAAGCCGAGATATGTACATTTGAAGTTTGAGGCGCAAAAACGCAAGAACTTTCTTCACGACCTAACATTTGGATAAACAGAAAGTATTCGCCTAGAAATTGTTGTATTACCAATTTTTGGAAGAAGCTTCCACTACTGGCCGCGTTACGGACTAGCTGGCTCGCATCTTTTGTGACCCCCTATAGGCCACTATCAATTGTTATCAAAACTATCTACGGTCCCTTCAACCACATCATACCGTAGTATCAAGGCTCCACTGTTAACCGGAAGGGCTTAGCTGACTGAGCGGCCCTCGCCTTCCCTGAAAACGTATCAGCCGTATCAGTTGTTATCAATCACTGCTGTCACGACCATCTATGATCCCTTTACATACCATATTACCAATCCAAGAGCAATATTTTCGCTGTTAACAGGAAGTGCGTAACGGACCTCGAGGTTCTTATATTCCAATGATCCTTATTGGTTCCTATCAGTTGTCATCACTTCCTATCATCCGATCATTGCCACCGGTACTACTGCAAACGTTAACGCTCCAGGTCCAAAACGACAAAGGTTAGGATTTCCAGGAAAAGACACACACCGACACACAAAATATACAAACAAACAGCTACAAACCAACAGATACCCTGGACCAATTGTATAAAGAAAGTTTTCCAAACTCTGTAAAGAACGCCCACAGACATAACACTCAACATTACTTATCTTAGACCAAAATTCAGGCAGCAATCTTTCCTTCTTTTCTGAGTCGGTTGAAGGAGTCTGTCTTTCGAGATTCGGTCTTCTGAATTTCCCGACTAAATCTTTGTTTCGATCTGATGCAGAATTATGTATTGCACACAAGTATAGCACTCAGTATGCTTTTTTACGAATTCAACAGAATGAATCATACTCAACCAAAATTGTAAGCGATGCGACTTTTTTTTCAAAGCAAATACCAAAAAAGGAGACAGAAATCATGCGATCACCCAGTACTTGAATAGCTACGCGCTCTTGTTTAGTTCTGTCAAACATAAATGGTATGATAGCTTATCCTTAAGACATATCCACTTGAAAGACCCCTACAGCAGCATGCCTCATTCACCTAGTGCTCCATCTTGCAGCGATGAATATTTTCATCCCAGTCCTCATCATCAATCTGGTCTCCATACCACTCCTCATTGCCTTACTTGTAGCATACTTCGTTTACGTTCGAAAGGTACGTTACAGCTGCAGTGATACACATTTCACTAATGCCAGCAATATATGTCAGCCGACATGACTACAAAAAAAATCACTAGAATACTTCGAGAGCAGAAATTCCATCTGCTTCAACTGGATGGGAGTTCCAGAGGGTTTCTCAGCATAATAAGCTCAACTTGAAGGATGGAGAAACAAAGTTTCTGCAGTTAATCAACTCCTTCTAGTACGCACCTCACATTTGGCTTCCATTAAGAATCCAGGTGGAGTTTTGAATGTGTATGATGTCTACATGGTGACTTGTGTTGCTCAGCCGATGTACAAGCCAGTCCGTACCGTTTTATCCTCCCAACCGCGTTTGAGGTTCCTGAGTGTTCCAGCTATCACGTGGACTGGCCCTCTTTCATCGGTTTCACTAGCTTGGATTTTTGCAAACATACATCATCATTCCCTATCATGAAGCAGCCCAAAGAGTCAACTAGAATAGCCATGAAAGTTCAATGGAAGCGGCGTGAGATACGCAGCGCCCAGATTCACTCGAAAAGCTGTGCAAGATCAGGAACTGAAGTCATTTTTAAAAACAATAGGATGCAAAAAGTAGAGCGCATCGATGCGATCTGAGAGCCCCTTATAACACAAGGCATGACTAGGCTGGCTAACTTTATCAAAAGTTATACTGCAAACATACTTAATGCAAATACTACTTCAACTGAGAAGTGCTCTAGGGTTCGCATCCTGTTTCAGCTATCAAACAAAGTCCATGCCGTAGAAGAAAATACAATGGCAACAATGGACTCCATTCTAGCCATGTCAGTTCCTATGCAGCTTACCAAAGAGATCAACGCTTGTGCACTCGAACAAGCAAGGAATTTGCCAGGAAGATAGGAAACGAACCAGTCAAAACAAATTGACTTTCATTTCATACTGTCCTGCATGCTTACTGTTGTAACAGAAAAAGATTATATGTTCCCTGATAATACAGAACTTTCATATGAAGGATGTGTTCATGTAATTGATATTCAAACACCAAAGACATGATTGGTTCAAGTACTTTAGGACAACCTGAATGAATCTCTATTCTACACGGGCGTGGTGCAGTAGGAACGAAACTGTAGAGTTGCGGCGAGAGAGACGCCGCGCGCGAAGTAATGTAGCAGAATGCAGCAGCAAGTAAGAAATTCAGGAAAAAAGAACTAACAGTAGAATCATGCCATAGTGATAATCGCATAGCGATTGAGCTGTATGAAGCGCTAGAGCTGTTATAACGAGACAAATGGTGCGCGACAGCCGCGTGCGGCGGACCGACTGCACAAAACCATTCCTACTGCCCGTCTCCCATTCTACACCGCAGAATGGGGAAGGGGCATTTCACGATTAGCATGGGAGGGCGACTACCGCGTAGCGAACAACTTCAGCCAGAGTGGTGTCCGCATTGAAAAAGATAAAGCATAAAGTCGTGTGGCGTTGATAAATCCCTCTGAGGGATGCGCCCACGCATTTGATTTTCATTCAGAAGCGTGACGGCGCATTGAAAGCGTAAGTGGCCTATACGATGAGTTGTGATGGCCAGCCGATGTACAATTCAGTGCTTTCTTCTCCCAGGCGAGTCTGGTGTCAATTAACCGACCGCGGAATGATGAAAGCTTGCTGGCTTGGTTGGTCTGGGCAGATATCAGCCTCCGCTTCGAATCAGTGTCCATTCGTGTGTGAAGTGCGCCACTTGCCACTGCAGCACCTCCCTTTTCGGATTAGTACTCTAAAATTCAAAACAGCATCCCTAAATGGGATGCCCAAAGAGGTGCTGACTCTATGTAATGTACCTATATCAGGTCGGGTTATTAAAGAATGTGCTAGGAAAAACAACAAGCAGTGAGTTTGAAAAAGGTGCTAAGCTGCATGCATTGGAAAAAACACCAAACAAAAAGGTAAAGCCACTGCGGTAGCAGAATATCTCGGGCTGTGTATTGGTTGAAAATCGGCGACCGAATAATGTCTGAAATCTTAAATGAACCGCAAGACGATTCATCTGAACAGAGAAAGGAGAGTTGAATTAAAGCTTGATGAAGTCATCAGGTCAGTTCAAGGGGATTATGATCTCGTCGAACGTCTGATGGGATTCATAAGAGAGTGGGTAAGACCATCAGCCAAAGATCGGCATTCGGACAATCGATGTCAGTCTCACAGACACGCTCTGCGGTCAAACCTCTGTAAAGAGAAGATTGCCTATGTACATTCTGGAAGAAACAGAAAAAAAATCGGAATATGAGCTTGTAGGAGATGTGATTCAGAACTGGTAGATGGTAAATAGGAGGAAGCTGGTCATAAAGAATCCCAAATCCTAGTCGAAGAAAACTGGAACAAAACAGTGGAAGCCATTCTACAATGTACGAGGAAACCCTGGCTGAGGTGGTGGTTCATCGTTGTAGCACGGAGTCAATAAGGCTACTGTGACTCAAACAAAAGACATAGATAGGAATGCACTGTGCGAGAAGTCCGCAGTCGGAACGAGGAGAAGCTATTCTTGCTGCTGTTCAGAGCTCTTTATAAGAACAACATTAAGTAAAATGGAGACTGTAAGAAGCGCTGACGGCGCCATTCGGAAAAAGGACAAGTATGATGCAAAGGCATCCTAGAAATTGAAGCGGTAGTCGCTGTTAAGGCCCTCCTGAGAGAGACCGGTGTGATCCGTCGTGAAGTGGTTAAGATGTAAATGGAGAAAACTGCTGGTTGATTATGATAGGATATCAATCGATGCGTTGGAGGAGCTCGAGTAAGATTCAAGGTGTCTCTTTCCTGATTACCATAACGACAGAAGAAAGCATGGAAGATGTGAGGATTAGCACTATTATCGTGTCTATCTTGGAGCTGAAACGGACTTGAGAAAGTATCCGCATTGCTCGACAGAAATGGAAGAGTTTCTGATACAACAGGTGACCTATCCTCAACACATAGATCAAATAAACGAAACCACGCTTTTGAGTAGAAATAGAATGCAAAGCGTATCTCCAAATTTTACCGCACTCTGAAAACTTCGGGTTTAGTCCGTCTATTCGTCTCGAACTTTCTTATACCACCACAAAACGTGTCTGAAGCGACATGGTACACACACAATCGAACTTTCCGATCTACCGACTCCGTGAAAATTTTGTAATTACCACGGTTAAATTTGAAATCCGAATGCTCCTCTCTTGTTTTATGATACTGAGAGGGAAGTCTATACAGAGTAAAATACACTGTCATCAGCATTTTAGACTTACTTATTGGAGGCCCATCGAGGCTCAAGCCGGTAGAGAGAATAGTTAAGGGGATTAGCGGGGAAAGGTTTGATAAAATTGTCCTACTCTTCGAAATGAATCAGATGTGAGCTTTCATCCTCACAAGACAGCCCTCCCTTTCCTGACCCACAGTCACCTTGCCTGCGCTGCCTTGAAACACAGCGTAGCTCTCACCCTAGTTTACCACGACCTTCACTTTAATGTTTGCAAAAAATTCGGTTAATGAATAGTCAATTAGGACATCTGGGGTGAAGATTTTAAGTGGGAATACTCACGGAAGAACAAGAGCCTTCTCTCAAAGAGAGATAATGTTTGGCTTTTTCGGCTGCTTAGCTCAAACATGCCGTAATTTCCCAAGCAGAAACCTAACTTCAAGAACCGATAAGCCAGAGATCGAATCAGGAGGCATGTTAGGCAAGGTGACCGTACCACATACATAAGATAGTAAACGCAGTGATATCTCCAAGAAAACGGAAACAGTTTAAAATTCGTGTCGGTACCTACTAACACATGGGAAAAGTAGTAAAATGAATAAAGATCCTTACATAGTCCAACTGTTCTTTAGTGTGGTCCGCACTCAGGCAAAAACGAACTCGCGCTTTCGTCAAAGGAGTGGCTGGAAAGCCCACTGCAACAAGTCCTATGTCGTGTTCAAGAGTTCGACGAGAGAACTGACTGAAATATACGTTATAAGACAGATACATTTCAAAGTACAATGTACATATAGTAATTATCAACAGATTTGATAGATGAGTCTCAGAACTATACGTTGCATGACACAAATTGGTCCGCGATATAAAAATTTGTGAATATAATTTATAAATTCAACCCTTTTTACTTTTGAACTGAGAGTTGAGCCGACAGTTTTCTAAATCTGAACAACTGCTTCGACCGACGGCTTATTGCATCTACTGTAGAATTTCGTAGGTTTTCAATCAAAGATTACATCAAATATCAATTTACTTACAAGCTTCGGTAATTGTCTTACAATTAGTTCTATAGTATCCTCTATAACACTGATCGAAAACGTTCTAGAACGAGGAAGAAAGTATTCAGAAGCTAGAGGAACGATGTGGTCAAATCCCCAGAGAAGGGAGGGATCGCGCTGAGGTGGGCAGAGCTATGATCAACCATCCATGACATTGCTCAACAATGTTCTAGAATCCAATAGAAGTAAATAGGGCTGTTAGAAAAAGGGTGGTCAGGTTCTCAATGTTGACAGGACTGTGACCGAAAAATCACATGTGTCCGTAATCGACTCACCTGAAGAAGCATCCATGGTGGCCAAGTGAAGTTAGGAATGGGCGGGGTCCCGGTCAAGAACAACAGAGCACATATGAGCTCAGGGTAACCGCTCAAGTAGGGCGGCCATATACGACAACGGGAGTGCATTGAGAAAAACTGTACGACTTTGTTCCACACAAGCCCAGACGGGGAAAACCCGGCAAAGATTGCAGACGGGTCAGCAAACTGGACAAGGGAGTCTTATCCGTTTAGCGGAGTGTTCTCGAAGGTTTCGCATAAATTCATAGCCCGCTAAAGGCTATAGCTAGATTTTTGAGGATTAGAGTGAGGTTAAAAGATTTGTTTCTGTTTAACGAGCGTTTTGTTGTGATGCAACGAAAGAAAAAGGTAGACCAACAACGAGATCTTTTGGGTATGAGAAGAAGTGTTCACTCACACTACTTTTGTGATATAAAACGTCATTAGTGGTACAACCGGACTGTCTTCATGGCCATAGATAAGAAATCCCATTTGCTTTAGCCGCCGGCGGAAATAACGTGAGTTCTTGAGCAACTGGACGGCTTTTCGAGCACCAATATCTGTTCCATCTTCTCCGCACATAATCTGAATTGATGTTATCTGATGACGAAGTTTGAAATAAACGTCAGCAAGTTAAAGCTATCCAGTATAGATACTATTATAGCTTGCAATTAGGTAAACTTATGCGCAAATAAGGCAGTGACTACTCCATTCAAGTTGAAGTTTATGGAGCTGTCAGCCCCCCCCCCCCCCCCTTTTTGTTG